CCCTTTGATTTCGACTTCTAAACTCCAGATCTGTGGGAGAATAAATCTATTTTGTTTTAAGCCACTCAGTTTGTAGTAATTTATTGTGGCAGCCCTAGGAAACTAATATACCTAATATGTAAATATTATATATATATATATATATATATATATATATATATATACTAATATAATAAACATGTATTTGAAATTTTAAAAATGTAATTCTAAGTAACTCAGAAGTTAAAGTCATACTGGAAGTTACAATATATTTAAAACTAAATAATAATAAAATTCTGCTATCAAAATGTATAGAAGATAGCCAAAGTGATTAGGGGTAATGTTACACCCTTAAATACAAATAATAAAAAATTGAAAAAGAATCTAGAGGATTTACACTACCAAGTATCAAAACTTATTATGAAACTGTAGTAATTAAGACAGTGTGATGTTGGCACAAGAATAAATAGGCTGACCATAAAAGAGAATACTCCAGATTCACATATATGGACACCTGATTTACAGTAAAGGTACCACTGCAATATGGTGGGGGAAAAGATGATCTTTTCAGTAAAATGATGTTAGGTAAATTGGATGTTAGGGAAAAAAAAGAACTATGACCCCCCTACATTACACTGTACACCAAAATCAATTCCATATACTTTAGATTTAAATATGAAAGGCATAGGTAGATGGATAGGTCAGTCTTCTGCAAGAAAGTACAGAGGAGTATGTCCTCACAATCTTGGAATGAGAAAACATTTATTAAATTGGATCCCCACCCCCAAAAAATAGTAGCCATAAAAGAAGAAACTGACAGATATGCCACATTAAATTAAGGGATTCTATTAATTAAACACCAAATAAAAGAGTAAAAGGCAAGCCACAGAGTGGGGAAGATATTTGCAATATATATCTCATAAAGGACTTCTATCCAGAATATAAAAAGAACTCATACAAATCATTATGAAAAAGTTAGGCAATCCAATTTTTAAAAAGGACAGAAGGCTTGAATAGGTACTTTTTATAAAAGAGACTATCCAGTAGCCAGTGAACATATGCAAAATATTCAACTTAATTCATCAACAGGGAATTGCAAATTAAGACCACAGTAAGATATCTCTGCGTACCCATTAAAATGGCTGAAATGAAAAAGTTAATACTGTGTTGGTAAGAATATAGAACAAACAGTACTTATTCACTGCTGGTAAGAATGTAAATTGGTAGAGTGACCTTGGAAAGCAATTTGCCATTATCTACTAAGATACACAAAAGCATAACAGCAGTTCTGTTCCTAACTATATACTCCACAGGAAAGGATGTGCATGAGCACCAAGACACACATGAATATTCTTTTTTTTTTTTTACCTTTACAGTTTAATTTGCAAACAATTTTTATAACAAATTATTTTTAACCAAATCATATCTTGAAAACTGTTTATATAGAAAACCCATGAAAAAAGTGAACTGTTCATTGTGGAAGGCCTTAAATTACATTATTACATTAGAAAATACAGGAGGTAGAAGATAACTGAAAAGACTAATGCAACATTAAATTCAAATCTGTAGCTCCTGTAGCTACTTAAAACATGGTTTCAGAAACTAAATCCAACATTTCCAGTAACCATAGAAACAGTTAAAATTTGCCATGAAAGCCCTTATATCATGCTTGATATAGGGAGGTAGGAAGATGTAAGAACCAGGACACATGAGACATGATATTTTATCTACAAATCCTTTTTGCTTTACTGAGGGTGTAGTTTCAAATTCAGTCACCTCCTTCAGCTTCAGACTCAGACTCTTCAGCATTTTTGAGCCACTACAAACTTTTTCATTTGTTCAAGGAAGACACTTTTCCCCTTGGCAACATGTGCATCTTTATACCACTTCAGAATGGGTTCTTCACTCAGAACTTCAGCTTTATAAAAAAGCACCACTATTTTCTGGAAGGCTTTCATGAAATGAATGTTGTCCTAACAATACTCCTGAATCTTCAGTAACAAGAGTCAGCTCAGACTGACCTTGAGTTGTAAAGGCAGCAAGTAGAGGGCTGTATTGCTTCAAGTGCTTGATGGCTTGCTCTGCTACAAGCTCCTCTTTTTTGTTTCATTCCATGGTGCTCATTACACTGGACCATACTATTCCAATGACAGCTGGTTCTGGGATGTTGTTTTTTTTCATCTCCTCCTTGACATACAAAATTATATCCTTAAATGGATCACCACGGGACATCTGTTCTTGAAGTTCTTTCTGGAGTCCCTTACGAGCTCCTGTAGTTTGCTGATTCCAAACATACTGTGAAAGCTCTTTCAAGCCTGCCTCAGTAAAATACTTTGTGAAGTGTTCAACACTTTGTTTATTGGCAGGAAAAAGTTCCATCAGTCTGTTATCTATGCTCACTTTCCGAAGACTTGGAGCTGCTGCATTGATATCTTTTTCATTTATCCATGATTTAAAGAGCTTTACAGCAAAAGCTGCTGAAACCCCTTCTTTAACCAAATTCTCATTATAAAGGCTATTAAGAATGGTTGCATTAAGTGTTCCATTAGCCAGAAGAACACCAGTCAACATAGCCAGCTTGTTCCTCTCCGACTCTGAAAAACCCTTTAAGAACAGCAGCAGCTTTTTAACTTCCATCTTCAAAACCTTTCTCCAGGTATTTGTAGCACCTGATTAACTTGTTAAAAACCTGAGCAAATGCTTGCATGGTCTCTAGGTCTTCTTGTGCTGCGAACACACTAACATCTGTACGCATCATGTCATCTGCCAGTGTACCACCTGGGGCCAGCATTCCACCGGCCACCAGAATGTCAAAGAGTGTTTCTGCATATCGGTGGTAATCAAGTTTTGCTCCAGAAGCATCAAGAAACTTTGCTACTGCTTCCAAATCAGTGCCAGTTTCAGTTAAGCCTTGAATAAATGCAGTCTTGAAACTGAGTAGGGTCAAACCTCTCTTTTTCATCTTTTTCTGGTTTTAAAACGCTGGCTTGATAGCGTTGCCTTTTGCTGCTTTTGATTATTCATAAAAGACACCCGAATTTAAGGCGAAGAGAAAATAACCAGAAATCCCGGAGGTGGCGACAACTGCGGCGGTGTCTCCTCTGCCACATGAATATTCTTTACAGCAGTTTTTGTAATAGCTCCAAACTGGCAATTACCCAGATGCCATTATTTTTATATTTATTATGCCATTATTTTTCCAGTAGTATGAGTGAATTGTACCATATTAACACTGTTGAATAGTAACCAGTAAATGAGTCTGAGTAAAAGGCAAATATATGTTTTAACACTTAACGAATCTCACAAATATAATGTAAGAGAAGAAAGCAAGACATAAAGGCTATGTGCTGTATTATTCCATTTATATAAAGTTCAGAAATATAAGTAATTTGTTGCATTTAAAATGGGGTGTTATGCTCAGCCTGAGGGAGATTGAAAGAATGAGGGGAGAGCATATAGGGTTATAGGCAGATTTTTTTTTTTAACCTGGGTACATGTTCACTTTTTAACAATTCACTGAGTTCTCTGTGCATTTTTTGATACATGTCTTCTGATACATAATGCAAAAGATTTTTTAAGATACTTTTTTAAAAAACAACAAAAATAAGTACTTAGAAATGAATCTAACAAAGGACATGAAAAACTAGAGAAAATGATAAAGCTTCATTGAAATATATTAAGGAAGACTTAAATAAATTCAATGAATTGCTACTCAAAATTCCAGTAGATTTTTTCATGGAACTTGACAGGCTGATTCCAAAATTTTTTGGAAATTCAAGAAGTATATATATATATATATATATTTTTTTTTTTTTTTTGCGATATGTGGGCCTCTCACTGTCGTGGCCTTGCCCGTTGCCGGACGCGCAAGCTCAGCGGCCATGGCTCACGGGCCCAGCCGCTCCACGGCATGTGGGATCCTCCCGGACCGGGGCACGAACCCGTATCCCCTGCATCGGCAGGCAGACTCTCAACCACTGCGCCACCAGGGAGGCCCCAAGAAGTATATTTAAAGAATAAGGTAAGGGGACTTGCTATACCAGACATCAAAAGACGTGTGTGTGTGTGTGTACATATATAAAATATATAATTTATATATATATAAAATATATATATTTAAGACCTCACTTGCAAAGGAATAAACAAAGAAAGTGGAACAACATGTTGACCCAGAAACACACCCATGAATGTGGAAACTAATATATGATACAGATGGCATAACAATCCTGGAGAAAGGATGAACTATTCAATAGTGTTTGGGCCATTGATTATATATGTAAGAAAAAATAAAATCAGATCAATCCCTGCTGCACATTAAACAAAAATGTCCAAATGATATTAAATGTAAAAAGAAAACTTTAAGCGTTTAAAATTTAGATGACCTTTGACCATGAAAGAATGATTTCTTAAATAAGACACACAAAGCACAGACCATGAAGGAAAAAGAAAATAAGTGGTATTATTAAAATGAAAAATTTTGTGCACCGAAAGACATCATAAATAATTCAAAGACAAGACACAGACTGAGAGAAGATATTTGAAACTCATACAACCTACAAAGAAATTCTATAGTAATGTTCATTGTAATGCTTTTCAATATTAAAAAATTAGAGGGCTTCCCTGGTGGCGCAGTGGTTGAGAGTCCATCTGCTGATGCAGGGGACACGGGTTCGTGCCCCGGTCCGGGAAGATCCCACATGCTGCGGAGCGGCTGGGCCCGTGAGCCATGGCCACTGAGCCTGCGCGTCCGGAACTTGTGCTCCGCAACAGGAGAGGCCACAACAGTGAGAGGCCCGCGTACCACAAAAAAAAAAAAAAAATTAGAAATAGCCTAAAGTTTACCAACAGGTAAAAATTGATATATTAATTCCATAGAATTCTACATAACACTGAGAATGAGTTAATTAGAGTCACTATGAGTAAATCCCCCAGTCGTAATACTGAGTGTAAAAGGCAAGTTACTTAAAGGTACACATAGTATTATACTCTTTATGTAAAGTTTAAAGACATGCAAAACAATCCAGTACATTGTTGACTAATACATGCAGCACTGTATAGTAGTTCAAGAACATCCTTGAGATTGACGAACTCTAAATTAAGCTTAAGGTTGCTACTGAAAAGAGAGAATGGTATCATTGAGGCTTTACACAGGGTATCATTATCATTATATCATTATATCTGTAATGTTTTATTTCTTAAGCTCTATAGTAGACACATGGTGTTCATTATGTTGTTTTTCGTAATCTATTGCCTATCTGACTGCTTTGTTGAAAAATATTCATTCTTAGAGATAGGAAATGAATCTCTTGTCAATCCATTGTAAAAAACATATAACCATATTAACTGCTTGATAACTGTATCCTAGTTGTTGTATTGGTGATTTTTAATTTATTTGCCAACATTATTGTTTTGCACTTGGCGTTTTCTCATACAATAAAAAAGAAAAGAAGGCTTCCCTGGTGGTGCAGTGGTTGAGAGTCCACCTGCCGATGCAGGGGACACGGGTTTGTGCCCCGGTCTGGGAAGATCCCACATGCCGTGGAGCAGCTGGGCCCATAAGCCATGGCCGCTGAGCCTGCTCATCCAGAGCCTGTGCTCCACGATGGGAGAGGCCACAACAGTGAGAGGCCCGCGTACCGCAAAAAAAAAAAAAGAAAGAAAAGAAAAGAGCTGATTTTAAAAGACCAATAAGGTAGATAAATCTCTAGCAAGTATGATCAAGAAAAAGAGAAAGAAAATAGAAAGCATTAGACAAATTTAACCTCAGGAGATTTTAAAGAATTATATAAGTACTATATATAAAATCTAGATGATATAGATGCTTTTCTAGGATTATATGAAATATCAAAATTTGCCCCCTAAGTGACAAAAATTTTGAATAGGCTTGTTCAGATGTACTTTGCTACTTTGAAAGATACCTGATCTGGATTTTTTTTTTTAACTGTTGCATCAAAACAGCAAAGAACAGATTTTGTTTAAAGTGATTGTACACAGAAAAATATGGAAAACTTTCCAAACCCCCCAAAACTGTCATATGTTATAAAGTCCTTAAAACTGTCACAGCTTTTACATGGTTGAGCCTAAGAGATGCTTTTTTTCCTAATATATAAAGAGGATTTTGTTTTTGTTTTTGTTTGGGGTGGAAGGGGTGGATTACTTGGTTGTGTTGTCTTTTCCTTCTCCCTGGGATCAAATGACATCATTATTCCAGATGCTCAAGTTCAAGTTCTTATCACTGGGGATGAGGACCTCTCAGACAAAAACCAGAAAAAGGAGATCTACAATAAAAGGGCAGTGACCGAGGCTGCTCGATCTGAAGAAAAAGAATCCTTGCAGAAAGACATTACAGGTAGTGGAACTGAATTATCTGCCTATTGTTTTATTCTGACCTTCTAAAATGAATATAAATAGAAAAATATTATATTCTTGCTCTCTTCAACCCTCCATCTTGTTCATATGTGAAATAGGATGTTAGCTGCAACTTTTGGTGTACACTGGCAGGTAAAACTAACATTTTTAAAGCTCCTTGAGATATTTTTGGAGAACTTTATGAATATTATACACAAATTAATCGCATTGCCAGAAATTCACATAATGGACTTTTAAAAACTCTACTGATAAAAACATTTGTTGCCATGAGATGCTAATTCTCTAATAAAATTGTTTTACATAGGCCTTTGTTCTTCAGGAATTTATCTTGTTTACTTCCTAACTACCTACCCAGTTAATTTACTTTGGTAGGACTGTGCTGATTAAAAATGCCTGTAAAAGTGTGTTTCATTTAGGATAGTTTCGACTCTGAGAGATGAAAACAAAAACAAAATGACATTGGCTTAAAGAAGACAGAAAAGAGTATCAGGGAACAAAACTCGTTCTCTCCTTTTGCTTCAACATTTTAGCCTCCATTCTCATGCTGTAGTTGTCAGACACGTATTCCAGCCAGCAAAAAGGAAAACAAAGGAAAAAGAGGGCTTCCCTGGTGGCGCAGTGGTTGGGAGTCCGCCTGCCAATGCAGGGGACACGGGTTCGTGCCCTGGTCCAGGAGGTTCCCACATGCCGCGGAGCGGCTGGGCCCATGAGCCATGACCGCTGAGCCTGCGCGTCCGGAGCCTGTGCTCCGCAATGGGAGAGGCCACAGCAGTGAGAGGCCCGTGTACCACAAAAAAAAAAGGAAAAAGAAAAAAGTGTATTTCTTCCTTTAAATACTTCTCAAAAGTTAAATGTACCATTCCCCTTCCATCCTATTGGCCAGACTTATTCACATGGTCACACCAACCTATGTTGCCCGGGAGGCTGGGAAATATAATCTCTATTATGGTATGCCCAGCTAAGTCAGGTTCTATTTTAGAGGAAAAGGAAAATGGATTTCAGAGGACAGCTGGTAGTCTGCCGCAAGTATAAATAGAAACATATTTTGGAGTATAATTAGCCACTTCTCTTTTTTGTGTATTGATTCTTTTTCAGAAGTTATATTGTATTCTGGGCAAATATTGTATTTGAAAATTTACCCGCTTTTTTGCTGTTTTTAAACATGCTTCAGAAAAAGTTTTGATCATGTTAATCTCCTCATCAAAAAGTTTTCATTGCCCTTGAAAATAAAAACTAGGACTTCGCTGGTGGTGCAATGGTTAAGAATCCGCCTGCCAAAGCAGGGGACACGGGTTCGAGCCCTCCTGTGCTCCGCAGCAAGAGAAGCCACCGCAATTAGAAGCCCGTGCAAAAAAAAAAAAAAAGAATGAAAACTAAACTTTTTAGCCTAGTCTTTCAGAACAGTAGAATGGGCTCCCAAAGAACTTTTCAAATGCTAATTTTTTTCTCTTTTCCTTACAAATTCTATAATCTAATAAATTATATACTTGCACTGTTTCTTAGATGATCATTGCTTTCCTGATTCCATTTTTTTCATATGTAGTCACCTTTGCCCAAAATGCTTTTCTCTTTGCATCTCAGTTTTTTTTGTTTTTTTTTTTTTTGCGGTACACGGGTCTCTCACTGTTGCGGCCTCTCCCGTTGCGGAGCACAGGCTCCGGGCGTGCAGGCTCAGCGGCCATGGCTCATGGGCCCAGCCGCTTTGCGGCATGGGGGATCTTCCTGGACCGGGGCACGAACCTGTGTCCCCTGCATCGGCAGGCGGACTCTCAGCCGCTATGCCACCAGGGAAGCCCTCCATCTCAGTTTTTTTTGTTTTAAACATCTTTATTGGAGTATAATTGCTTTACAATGGTGTGTTAGTTTCTGCTTTATAACAAAGTGAATCAGATATACATATACATATACATATATCCCCGTATCTCCTCCCTCTTGTGTCTCCCACCCTCCCTATCCCACCCCTCTAGGTGGTCACATAGCACTGAGTTGATCTCCCTGTGCTATGCGGCTGCTTCCCACAAGCTAGCTGTTTTACATTTGGTAGTGTATATAAGTCCATGCCACTCTCTTACTTCGTCCCAGCTTACCCTTCCCCCTCCCCGTGTCCTCAAGTCTGTTCTCTACGTCTGTGTCTTTATTCCTGTCCTGCATCCATCTCACTGTTTATCTAGCGTAACTATCTTCTCACACTAGTAGATGCTTGAGAGGTATTTTAAAATAATTTTTGTCAGCTTCCTGTCTGAATCTTGATTTTCCTCTCTTAGGTTCCAGTGCTGCTGCTGCTTCAGAGCAGTCAGCTCAACTACAAGACACAAAGATTGTTAGTCTACCAGACACTAAAGCCACTAAACAGAAAGAGGAGATCCACGGTAAGAGGACAGTTCCTAAGGAAGGCTGGCCCGAAGAGAAGAAATCCTTGCAAATAGATATTGCAGGTAATGGGGAGTGGGATAGGGGGTGTGAGAGAGAGAGAGCATGCACACGCAAATGCCTGTGTCTACGTGTTTCCACTTAATTCTGATGGGACTATAGTCTTACAATTTAAACAGAGTTCCATTTTTTTATTTTTTGCTTTCTTACGCATATCACTTCAGTGCTTCTCTGTCTGTGTGGATGTACGTATTTATTTGTAAGATAATTGCTACTTCTGGGAAAAGATACTGGCAATTTAGAAACAAAATTACAATTAAATACCCAAGGCTGATAGTATTAGAAGTGAAGTATCATGTCTCAACACTGAAACAGGGGAAAGCTTAAGGCATTCCAGATGACTGTGACAAAGACAGAACCTCAATACAAACTTTTTAAAAATTACAATAAAAAAGACCCAAGATCAAATCTATTTATCTTTACCCATGGCCCCCTTTCTCTAATAACATAAAAGAAAAGTGTATAGGACACAAGCCGTTACTACCTAGCTGTCAAACTTTATGTCTTAGAGGAATATAGAACAGTATCCAGATAAGAAAAGAAAGGAGTCAAGAAGCTAATCTGTGGATACTGTATTTTGAAAATAGTCCTTGTGCCGCTGCTAACATCAAGAATGTATTAGATGGATGATTTTCCATAAGGGCACCAAGACTACACAGTGGGAAAAGAATAGTCTCTTCAACAAATGGTGTTGGAAACCTGGATATCCACATGCAAAAGAATTAATTTGGACCATTACCTTTTACCATATACAAAATTAACTCAAAATGGATCAAAGATCCAAACAGAAGAGCTAAAATTATAAAACTCTTAGAAGAAAACATGGGGGAAAAGCTTCATGACATTGGATTTGGCAGTGATTTCTTGGATATGACACCAAAAGTATAGGCAACAAAAGCAAAAATAAATAAATTATGCTATATCAGAATTTAAAACTCTGCTTCAAAGGATACAATCAACAGAGTTAAAAGACAACCTGTGGAATAGGAGAAAATATTTGCAAATCATGATAAGTGATGAATATCCAGATTATATATGGAACTTCTAAAACTCAACAACAAAGAAACTCAATTTAAAAATTGGTAAAGGACTCGAATAGACAATTCTCCAGGGAGTATATATGAATGGCTAATAAGTATATGAAAAGATGCTTAATATCACTAATCATCAGAGAAATGCAAATCAAAACCACAGTGAGATACTACTGCACACCTATTAGGATGGGTACTATCAAAAGAACAGAAAATAACAGTTGTTGGCAAGGATGCAGAGAAATTGGAACCCTTGTGCACTGTTGGTGGAAATATAAAATGGCCCAGCCATTATGGAAAACAGTATGGAGGTTCCTAAAAAATTAAAAATAGAATAACGATATGATACAGCACTCCCACTTCTGGGTGTATATCCAAATGAATTCAAAGCAGGATCTCAGAGATATCTGCACACCCATGTTCATTGCAGCATTACTCACAATAATCAAGATATGTCCATCAGCAGATGAATGGATAAATATGTGTGCATAAATGGATAAAAATGTGATATATATACAATAGAATGTTATGCAGCCTTAAATAAAGAAAATCCTGTCACATGCTATAACTTAGGTGAATCTCAAGGACCTTGTGCTGAGTGAAGTAAGCCAGTCACAAAAAGATAAACACTGTATATTCCACCTATAGGAAGTATCTGAAATAGTGAAAATCTTAGAAACAAAGTAGAAAAGTGGCTGCCAACGGCTGGGGAGAGAAAGGAGGGAGAATTAATGTTTATTGGGTATAGAGTTTCAGTGTTGCAAGATGAAGATGTTCTAGAGATCTGTTGTGCAACAGTGTGAACATACTTAACACTGCTGAACTGTATGCTTAAAAATTGGTTAAGATGGTAAATTTAATCTTCTGTGTTTATCACACAAAAAAAAGAATGTATAAGATGAAAAAACAACATTGCAACTCTGCAGTGGGTAGTCTAGGAGACATAGCTTGGAAAAGAAAGATGGAAACATAACCTGCAGAAGCATACTCTAGACCAGGCCACACAGAGGAGGTGAGCGGCGGGTGAGCGAGAGAAACTTTACCTGCAGCTCCCTATCGCTCCCCATTCCTCATGTTACCGCCTGAACCATCCCCCCACCCCCCACCCCCGTCTGTGGAAGAATTGTCTTCCATGACATTGGTCCCTGGTGCCAAAAAAGTTGGGGACCGCTGCCCTAGAGGACCCTCAAGGAGAAATGGATAATACAGAACACTAGGGAGCTTGAACACACATACTTAGCCCATAACAGACCATAGAAATGAAATTTAAAAAAAAAAAAAAGCAGAGTTAGAGAAACATCTGGAAATAATGAGGTTGATGTGTATAAATGTTTGTATGCTTTTAAAAAAAAAAACTTTCAAATGCTCATAGAACGTTTTTTTTCAGCAGCTTTTTTTTTTTTTTTTTTTTTTTTTTTTTTTTTTTTTTTTCCGTCGTGGCCTCTCCCGTTGCGGAGCCCAGGCTCCAGACGCGCAGGC